TGCATATAGAAAGCCACATATGGAAAGAAGTAGAAGATCATGCAGCAATTTGCTCACAAACGGCATTAGAGAATGCACGATAGATGTAGTGGCATTCATACGACATATGTTGATCAACATATGGGCAACGAATATTGACACCCATGACCTCTGAAGGTTGATGCACAAAGTATCAATTTGTCAATCAATGTATATGATGGAGTTAAAAGCCCGTCATGGGCACAATAACATATTTGCAAGTGATGATCATCGATAGGCAGTGAATGCTGCAGTATTCAAGAATCAATACTGATCGATACACAAGCACATGCAACAGTCCCCATGAATACTGAAATACATGCAAGATAATACAACAACATTAAACATCCAGCACCAATATACAATGAACTGACAAATAAGTAAAGACGCATTGTGTGCAACGTGCGTAGACACCTACAGGACGCTGTGGAAGACCAGTCGTGCACTCAACATATCGCTTACGGGAAAATACATAAGGACTACGACAAACACAAGCTTCTACGAGTTTTCGTAGAAGACCCATACATCTGAAAATGCCCCCAAACACCCGCATGGGCCTCGGCGAGCATGTTATGGGTATACACGTGACATCTAGGGATGCTGCGATGGTCAATAAATGAACTTAAATTCGAGCCCGATCATTCTATGTGAATAGATATGAGTTGACACAGCTCGAACTATCAAACAAATATACAGTCGCGATATCGACTGCAATATCTGTTTTATACGTTAATATGAGGACTTCAAGGCCTACAAATAAGAAAAGTTCACTAATAAGGACACAAAGCCTATGAAAAACTCGATCCTCTATTGGTAAGTTGACAGAGTCGACAAGGTTCAATCCACAATTAAAATTCTCCATAAATACATCAATAATGGTTGTGATGAACGTAGATCTCAACCTGAGAGGTTAATTTCAAAAATTCAAAATGCCACACAAATACCCACGAAAGCTCAAAATCTCCAAACTTCCAAATCCAAATATTTAAAATCAAAATTCAACCATCAAACGCTTAAAGCAAAATTCATCCACCCTCCACAACAGTTTGCAGAGGCGAACAAATTCAAATCTTACTTCAGCTGCTAGTGTCTAGTCGAGAATATTACTATGATTCATTCTCAAAGAATCTTTTGCCAGTAAGGGCGTGGCACATGTCCTCTAACCGCCAGTTTTTATCGCCAAATGATATCGCAGGTAAACAGTTATGATCGGGGCCCTCTCAACTAGGTGGTTTGCAGTCAATTGACACCGCTAAATTATGGTCATGACCAGAGCCCGTATGCTCCCCAATGGCATCAAATCCTTGAGATATGAATCAATGGGATATAATCGATAGGGCATAAAGCCCTGTGTCAGCAATAGTGAAATCAAAATTGTCCCCTTAGACAAACAATCACCCTAGGTCTACAAGGTACCCTTGGACAAAGCAACCCATGGCTGTTGACAAGGATCCTTTTGTCAGGTTGGGTCGACTACATCCTCTGATTTAGTAGACCAAAGACCACGATGGCTAGGGATGATGGAACGAAGGGATCTTGATAGGGTCCATCATCCATTCCCACACCCTAAGCTTTAAGTGCAAGAAGGTGGAATTTCTAATTTTAAATATCAAATTCTCCAAACACACAAACATATGCTTCTACTATATGCCAAATATACGTATCTCTACATATATGATTGACGACTAGCCTTATTCAAAAGTTCTCTCTTATTACCTTAACTATAGGGGCTTGTGCCTCTAAGAAACAAGAACTTATATCATAAAGTCCTCACAAAATAAGGGCGAAATCTCTAGGTAGTGTTTTATCTACAAATCCAATTTGCCTTCCCAAAATTTATACTGGAACTTAATCCGTTAAAACTACCCGAAAGCAAAGCGGATGTTGGGGCGCGAATTTTCGAAGGCCACAACTAAAAAACTGTTTGCCAGGATTTATCATAAATACAACGTAAATCCGAGTACAAATCTGATACCAATAGCCCCTTAATGTTTATTTGTTTATTTTTTTAGATGATCGTCAATCTAGTACGTGTCGGATGGGGTGGCTTAGCGAAATTTGATTTTTCATTTAATAATAATAATAACACAACTAAAAAACTGTTTGCCATGATTTATCATAAATACAACGTAAATCCGAGTACAAATCTGATACCAATAGCCCCTTAATGTTTATTTGTTTATTTTTTAGACGATCGTCAATCTAGTACGAGTCGGATGGGGTGGCGTGGCTTAGCGAAATTTGATTTTTCATTTAATAATAATAATAATAATAAATTTATATATTATTATTTTAATTTATTACACAAATTTTTCATCACTTGTGCAAAGCAATTTTGTGTTGTCCCAGGTGCACATTTTTCAATTTTTATCGCACCAAGATCTTGATTACATGGGTGTTCATATTAACTATTTATGTTATCCCATATTGTTGATGCAGCCCGTTTATTACTCGGACGACTTCGACTTTTTATTGACTTATTTTAGACAATATTTATGCAATGTCACATTTTTGGCTCATCGCTTTCACAATATTTGGCTGGGTTTATCTAGGTAAAACAAATATCCCATATTCAGTCTGCTAATAAATTCAAAGGGAAATATCATACTCAGTCTGTTCATAATATCTCAAATTACTAATAATATGTTAAAAAAATGGGGTTTTTACCCAATTACTCCTATTGAACTTACCTTTGATCCAGAAAGGTGCAAGAATTAAATTTGAGGATTCAAGCAAAAATCGCAAAATGTGCACCTGTTCAAAATATCATATTCAGTCCGCTAACTAGTTATTGGAAGGATTCAAGCAAACTTTGTGATGAGGACATCGATCCAAGGTTCAAATAGGTGTATCGCCGGAAGCATCACAGATCGACGGCCACGATTAAAAGCTTATATTTTTAGTTATTATGCATTTTATTTTATGTATTCCTTTTGTACCCTTATGTTGAGTTGAGTCATGTTGGGGCCCTGAGGGCAATTTAGTCTGAAAAAATTATATTTGCCGATGTAGTAGTAGGATTCAAATGATGAGAACCTCATGCACAAGATGATTTCTCTTTAAGGTAGAAGAACAGTCTAGATCAAGTTGATGAGGACATCGACAGACGCTACTGTTGACCCGCATCTTATACACAAAAGAACAAAAATAAATAGGAAGCCAAATTCTAACGTGCATACCTCTTACCCGTCGGATCCGCAAATCTGGCTGAAATCGGCGCCGTTCGCATCATGTCTCCGTAAATCCTGCTGAAAATCTACGACCTCACCTCGATCGAGAGCCCAAACGCGTCGTTAAATAGCAGAGCAAATGGAGTCTTCGGGGCTGTTCTACACGCGATCTCCTTCGACTCCCCGCTGCTCTCCACGCTCGTCTCTCCTCAATTCGCAAATCTCCGATCCCATCTCCACGGCCTCCTAATCGAAGCCGATTGGAAGCTTCAACGCCTCCTCCATCTCCCCTTCTCACGTGAACTCCACTTCCTCCATCCGACCCTTGCCCGATCTCCTCTGCCTGTGCCGACTCCAATCCGAGAGAGAGAGAGAGAGAGAATTGGTTTTCAAGCCTTGCTCCTCTTGCACCCGCCGGCCCCCACCCTCTCTCCTTGAGATTCCCGCCGGCCCTCTCTCCTCGTTTCCCATCATATCAAACGACAAGTACTCTCTTTCAACACCACATTTTTCCTCTCTTCGTGTGGAAGATTCTCCGACGCCAAGCATGCATGGTGGAATCCGAATGGAACTTCGGATTTGTGCATGACGATCGAGGTCAAGTCGACATCCACCAATCGCCGTTCTTTGATGTGGGCTTTGATTTCGACGACACCGTTGAAGACTACTTGAATCACATCCTCCCCACGCTCGTAGACGTCATCGACGAGCAATTCGAGGACTATTCGTGGACCGCCAACGGCCATCCGTCCGTGTCTCCTCCACCACCGTCGACCTTTCAGTGGCTCAAGACCATCGGCGTTGCAACCTTCCTCATGGCATCGTTTGGTGCGCTGAAGATCTTCTCCCGCTAAGCCTAGTGTAGTTGAGTGATCAATCCCCAAGGTGAAACTCTCGTTATTAAATTACAGATTGTTGATTAATAGCTTTTGGTATTGCTACTATCCTTGGTTATCTATGAGTTTTTGGTTAATCTACTTGTACTCCTTCGCCTAAGCAAGTTAACAACTAAGAACCTTTAATGATTTTACTTGTTATCTCAATAAGCTCTTAATTGTAATTCCATTGTCAATCACTTTTAATTTTCTTAAGAAGCTCCTTCGCATGTGGTATCACATCACTTTGTCAAGCATATTAACGTAATTGAGCCTGATATGACCGGTCATGGGTTGGAAAAAATTATATTTGCCGATGTGGTAGTTAGGCGCATGCATCCAACCCCTTTCCATAACATTCAAATGATGAGAACCTCATGCACAAGATGATTTCTCTTTAAGGTAGAAGAACAGTGTAGATCAAGTAGGAGCAATATACATTATGCATCAATCAATATGTTATGCATAATGCCAGCAATAGCTAACAACTGAACCAACTCGGGCGCAGGGAAGGTAGGTATGCAAAGCATCGGCTTGAATTAACGACTTTCACCAGGATTGAGGATAATAGTGAGTGTTATGGGTGTTAATAAGAAATAGGTACACTTAATTTTTGCGGGTTGTTATATAAGCTTAGGGTTTTTTTTTTCCATTGGGTTAGTTGTTATGGGTGGTAAGTGGTATGGGACCCTTTTCATGATATCATAGACTTTGTTAAGATATGCCATCATTGGAGATAAAAAGTATAGCAGGATGTATTTTTTCTGAAAGTGGGTAATGAAATATATCCTTAATTCTCTCTGCTTCTTCCCCGTTTCCACTGTTAACTAGAACAATACTGTTCTTTGGAGTTGCCCACAGCTCTCCATCTGCCATTTCTTGTCAAATGCAAACACAATGAATATGCTGAAAAAAAATATATTGATGATTAACTTACTTGTATTAACTTCATCACCTCCAAGGTGGACAAATTTGAACTTGAAGACCTTGCTGAAATCTGAGGAAATTTAGCACGACGTCAGACATTTTTTCTGCAGTAACTTTCATCTTTATTTCGATAAGCAAATAAAAAATGTCGCCTAGGACATCTGTAATTTTGTGTAACTAAGAAAATGAAGTTGAGATGAACAATATTTGTTTTATATAAAGAATTTCCAAACATTGGATGACAAATTGAATAAAGAAGCATAAATCTTGCCATCATAATTCAGATATTAAATATTATATTTTATTTTTCTCCTTGATGATAAACACCTCAACTAACTGGGAATTTCCATGGAACTATCAGCAGTCAAAATTTTACATTTAGAGGCAGGCTGGCATCAGAATGGTGCAATTATGCTTATAGCCATGCCACGTAGTATAGTTTTTTTTTTTTAGTTTTTAAAAGCTGAATATTTGAAAACTTCGAAGTGTCATATTCCATTTGTCAAAAAAGAGTTTAGATGTAAACATTCCGCAAGGTAATGCATTCCTGCATTTTGAGGAAGTTCGAACGTCAAAGCATAAATATGATTCCATTCCAAAATGTTGGCAATGACTTCCAAAATCTGTACCAACTAAACTAATTGGCACCCACACATCAATGCATTTCTACTATGTCATTATGTATCTCGAGTAAAAAAAATTACCTGAAAGAATTCCATCTAAAACTTGAAATGTGAACTCATTACTCACATCAAGTGGTTCTCGACAGTTAAAGGATGGCCATAAAGAAGGATATCCCAAACCCCTGTAGAAAACATTTGTTATTACTTTGAAGAAACGCATTCGGAATTAAAGCTTGCTGAATATCATCCAACGAAAATGCAGATAACACATTAGATATTATGCAAGATCTCGTTAAAGGCTTGAACTTGGCTTTCATTCTAACAATGGATGTTTCCAAGTGCTATTAATAAGAAAATCAGTGTTTGGGATGATTGTCTTGTAAGAAACCTTTTGGAGGAAATGGTGGCCAGAAGGTAGTTCTTTAAATTTGGCTAGTTCAACCTTATCATGTCATATTACTCTTTCCTATGGTGAAAATTTCCATATGATCTGACTAAAATAAAGTTCTGACAAAAATAATGTAAGATATACAGGGTGGGATTCTTTTAGATTTTCCTACTGGAGAGAGACCTTCAGAATTCTTCTCCTTGTGAAGTGATTAAAAGAACAGCTGTGATCATCAATGTAAGCCTTAAGTTTTAATAGTTTAACGAACTAGCTATGTAAGTACCAAGAACGAGTATGCCCTGGCACATCAATCTCAGCTAACACATTTATCCCTCTCCTTTGAGCATACCTGCAAGTTCATTGTCTCAATTGTGAAAAGCCATTAAAAAAAAAAAAACTTGACAATAATCAGAAAAACCTAAAGGTAAATTTCACTAGGTTCAAAGAACTGAAGAAATATTTAACTTACAGAACGATTTCAAGAGCATCAGCAGTTGTATACCGCTCAGAGTAAGAATATGCACCATTCCATAAATTTGGATATGAAGGCATCTCTAAAGGGAATGATTCCCTGTCTACAATATGCCAATGTAACACATTCTGCTTGACAGTAAGGTGCGTAAGAAAATGACTTGAGGCCTACTTATGAATTTTAGCATATTTCTAACTAACATCAGTCATAAACTTTCCTCAGAATAAAATAAGATGGTTTATACTGTAAAATCACAAGTTCCTGAAATGTTTGTTGCATAAAGTCGAATAGAAACATTAACGAAGTCGAGTATAAACAACAGTTACGAATAACAAATAGAAGAGACATCTTATGGTGATTTCCATTGATCAGGAGTTTTGAAGGGGAATTCAAAACGTTAAAAATGATTCAAGAATTGCATGTTCATTTAGTTATCAAACGACACAAATGTAGATGAGCATGTGATGCAAATCTTCTTGCAGATACAGCAATCAAAACTAGGTATGCTCCATTTTAAATTAAAAAAAAAATTGTTGCATTCTTGATGAAGAATATTAGAGCATATTAAATGCAACTAATTATTCTTGCAGCAATATCTGAGTCTTATGTGAGACAACTTTTAACTCGGAGTAGAAGATCATATACGAGCAGTGTGAAAATTTGTTGAAAATGTAAGATGAACAAAATCATGAGCGGAGACCCGATAATATAACAAACAACAGCAAAAAAGGAACACACTAGTAGGGAAGGAACAAACGAGCATCACAATGGATGAAGGACTATTCATAGTCTTAAGGAAGCTTTTCATAAGAGATTGTTAGTAGCATAGTTATTAGTCAAATTGTTAAAGAGGTTGAGTTGTATTTGGCGGTCTTATCGTAGCAATTTAAATACCCTGTACCTTTTAAAGGATGGTTATGAATGAAATAACAAGTTTCTCCACCATCTTCCTTTCCTAGGAGCGTGTCTGCTCAAAATGACACGGGCTGATGCAACCTCAGGCAAAATCCAGGAGCATCTCAACTAGTGCACTATTTGAGCCATGAAGAACTCCAACATAACGGATGCCTTGTGGACAATTCAGGCACAACACAGTCCAATTCATTCAGATTCAATGCACGCTTCAAGGTGCAGATTCATAGTTTCTGTTCATCAGCAATACCTTTCAGCAAGTGTAGGCTTTTATAACCAATATTGATTGACGATTGGACAATATTGGATCTACCAAACATGTTCCCTCTGTAAATCAAGAAGGCGATAGTTATGTAGATGTTTTAATTCAGGATTCAATATCTCAGTGGCGGGAAGATCAATTGTGGAGGTAGTGCAAGTCATGCAATCCATGAAAATAAAATTGCCTCGGTTTAATGGTGTAGGGATGAATACATACATAAGTACTCAAGGTTAACGAATACTTTGACTTCCACAATGGAGTGCCATTGAGTATGCATTGCTTCGTTTCATCTTAAAGGCATCGCATAAATATGATACCAATAGTTGCAGACAAAAGGGAAACTTCTCACCTTGCAAACTTTTATGCAATCTTTGAAGAATTGTTAGGACAACTCAATATGAGGATCTCTGTTGGAATCTATCTAAACTGACCCAACAAGGCTCGATTTTAGAACACCATATTGCTTACGAAGATCCTGCTTATCAAGTTCTCAATCTTTTTGAATATGCTTTGTTTAGTTTAGTTTTTTTTTTTTTGGCCTTGTCCAAGAATTATGCCAAGAGCTCTTGCTAGCCAAACTGCTAACATTGCTTGATGCTGTGAAATTGGCTCAAATGGACAAATAAAGAATTCAAGATTTGTGCTACGGACACTTGCAAATATGGGAACAGCAAACTCCTAGCGTTGTTGTAACAAATAAATCGTGGTCACCCAGTACATAAACTAAATTTCAATTGAAATCCCAAAGCTAACTTCCAATTCCCTTCCTGTCACTCCAACTAAGGTTGTATCTGTCGATATTCATAAATTGGCAGCTGTTGAAAGTCAAGATAAAAGGGATAAAGGCTTTATTTTAATTGTATGGGAAATTTGGACACAACATCATTGTCATAATAAACTTTAATTTCATATAGGCATGGAAGATGCAGAGACTGGCACAAAGAATGATTCCAAATTATCAGTAGATTTGATTCCCTGAATTTAATTTGAATGATTTCGCCAGCCAACATAATCTGCATTCATTACACCGAACGAGATTTCTCAATCAACATGACGTCCATGTCTTGATTGACATTAACTGTACATAAGTTCATGAAAGGTACAGTTTCTCAACTGCTAAGGCTAACTTTAAATTCTATTAGAATGTTTAAGGTGTCTGTTGGTAATGGTGACCAATTAACTTGCACTCACAAATGCTCCCAAGTGAATCTGTTCATACAAGGATATCAAGTTTCTTTAGATATCTTTGTGTTAGCCAAGAGATATTTTTGTGAAACTAGGAGAGCTTGTGTGGGGTATTGAATGGATGCAATCCCTAAGGTCAGTTCTCCAATAACTCACTGAAAATGCAATTTTCAGCTAATAACACTCGCATTTGTTTGGATGGTGAACCAAAATTGATTTGTAAGATAGTGACCTTCCAGCAGCTCCAAGCCTCACTATCTGCTAAATCTACCAAATTATGTTTACATTGCAAGCCATCCAAACGATGCTAAACACACCAGTCATGAAAGCCATCAAAATCAGTCAATGTGAAACCTTATCGGTACCACCTTCTCCAGAAAAGTACAATGGAAAATTTTGTAAGTTATATGTTTGCACATGGTATAATTCGGCGAAGTTAGAGTTCTTTCTCCAATAGAGTTTTGTTTGTTAAGAGGCAGGAGGTAGTTGGAGATTTTTTGGGGATTATAAAGCCTTGAATAACATCACAATAGAAGACAAATTTTTTATTTAAACTTTTGACTTTGTGATGTGTTAAGAAGCACTAAAATTTTCTCAAAGTTTGATCTTTGCTTTGGATATCATAAGCTAGAATGCATCACAAAGACATTGACAAAACAACGTTTAGATCATATGATGGCCATTTCAAATTCCTAATCCTGCCATTTAGTTTGATTTATGTGCCATCCACATTTCAACCTCTAATAAACTAGGTATTTTGGTAATATCTCTAGAAGTTTGTTATATATTTTTGATATATCATCATTTTTTTTTTTTGATCGGGCGCAAATCTCGAGGCAAAATTGAGTTGACAGCTTCCGAAATTAAATCTAGGACCATCCAAACTCTAATTTTAGCAAACTTAGAGTCAAACTAAACCTCTAGAAAATATGAACCGAACAACACCAAATTCAAATCAATCCGAGCCCAAATGTGTCCAAATCCAAGGCCCAAAAGCGCATTTGGAAAGTTCAAACCATAAATTGGATGACCAAATGATTTCCAAATGTGACATGCTTATAGTTTAATCGAGCGGCTTGACAAAATGAATCCAACGAGCCCAAGATCGTCAAATTCTGATATCATTAAGACATTCAAATGCCCAGTAAATGATCAACGATTAAGGGGATTAATATCGGCCGTCCATTCAAACCACTCCCAACATACCCTTGATGTCCCTCCTATTTATTAGCCATGCTACTTTCATAAAACTATAAATAAATCCCTCATATCTCATGGAAAGGAACCCAAGCAAGCAAGAGAAGGAAAAGAAGGAAGAGAGAGAAACTAGAGTTCTCTTGCCAACAGACTCCTCAACCACGCTGAATTTCCACCTAGCCAGCAACCGACGCCAGACTTTCGCCCGGTCACCAACTTGTTGCAAATCTGATCCAAACACTGTGATTTTGATAATAACAAACATTATTGTGTCTATTACTACTTTCTCCTGATTTTATAATATTTTGTTTTGTTTTGTGTGTACTAATGTTTTAGGAAAATAGTTCACCGTTCACTTGCAATTTTGATCAGCTCAAGACTGGGTAAACTAGGACTACAGACTATATTTTTCAATTTATTCTGTATTTGTTCCTTTTTTGAGTCGTATCATATAATTGGGAGGATATCATTGTTGAGTAACCTTGCACACATATAGGGGGAGAGAGAAAAATATTTTTGAGAGAGTTTTTTAAGTAAATCGTACTATATGATTTTGGCTTCGTACTGTGCGACTTTAATTCGTATTATACGATCTGTTGTGCTTTGTCAAAACCCTCGTCGCCAGAGATTAAGAAAGATACTAATTATGTGCTGATCGTACGGTACAATTTGATTCGTACTGTATGCCCTAATTAAAATCTTTCTGAATTAACCCCTCAATATCAGGCAATCAAATCATGGACAATTATTATCGCCGATCATATTGTATAATAATGTTTGTACAATACAATTAACAATGCACAAAATTGGTCGTCCCAGAGATTGTACCAAATGAAATCCATGATTTTTTTACTGATCGTACTGTACGATGTCCACAGTGTTGGACGATCGACGGTGTACAAAATTGACCATCCCAGGAGTCATCCCAAACTAACAAAAGGAATTTCTACCGTTCGTATCAGACGATCCTTTGATCGTACTATACTAAGTGTTATAAAGGTTGAATAGTTCGTCTGCACGAACTTGCTGGATGAGTCTAAATTATGCTGATCGTACGGTATGATACGTGTATTGTATTGTACGAATAGAAGATGGAACTCTTCAAAATTAGGGTTTCTTGAAGTCCACTACGTAAGATTTTCTAATACTCCTATTAAAAAATCTTTGGTTGTTTAGACTTCAAGAGAGAGAGCCTTGAGGGAGAGAAGAATGAGAGCTTTGTGAGAGAAGAGAGGGAGATTGTATGAGGGAGAAGTTATGAGGGGATTCACAAGATTTCTCCAAGCAAGAATCTTGCCTAATATCTACATGTATCTGCATAAATTCTCTGTGGCTCCGGAGAAGAAGTACTTCAGCAAAAGATCGTGGTTCTCGGACCATCACCTGGATGGTGAAAATAAAGTTGTGGTTCTCTAACCATCATCTGAAGGTTGAAAATAGAGTTGTGGTTTTTTGACCATCACCTGGAGGGTGAAGATAGAGTTGTGGTTCTCTGACGATCACCTGGAGGGTGAAAATAGAGTTGAGGTTCTCTGCCTATAAAAGAGTCATGATTCTCTGCTGCACTGGGTTTGTGAAACAGCATCTGTATGGGTTTCTCCGCTTTACTGTGAGAGAAAAAGGAGAGTCACTACTGTTTAATGCAATACTTGGAGAGGGAGTCTCCAAGGAGTGGACATAGGTCAGGTTGACCAAACCACTATAAATTATGGTATGTTCATTTTGATTATTTTCTGCACTTTTTTTTTCTTTCTGCAACTATATGTGTGGTTGAAAAATCTGATTAATTTTGTTATTGTGAAATTGAACTGCTTCCGCATCTAGGGCTTTTCTTTTTATCAAAAGAATTTTTTTAATGACAAATTCACCTCCCCTCTTAGTTAACCTCAGACTAGTTCTTAGAGGTTTAACAACCTTCACGAACTTTCACAACTGACACCGAATTTCCACCCGACCACCGAACGACATCAAATTTTCATCAGATCTCTTTTTGTCACTAGATTGCAATTTCAACTCGATGGTTGACTATTGTAATCTGATCGTTCTCAATTTCAAAGATGAACTAGTCACTTGTAATCTATTTAAACACTAACATAGTCATTTCAATTGAGTGTGGCCCCGTGATTTTTCCCTTCAGGTTTTTCCACATTAAAAATTATGGTGTTTCTTTTTTCTCTGTTTGTGTGCTGGATACTCGTGCAACGCTAAAAAGCAAGGTTTTTCATACTTTACCTACGCGAATACTCTAGCCCGCAACAATTTTATGGTATTTTTTGTTTACAGATCCACTCTATCATTGCACCACAATACCACTGACATTTTGTCTCTGTGCTGAACATTACATACTTTATTTATTAAACTAAATGTTAGTTTTGTCAACCAATAGTGACTTATTTCGGCCACATTGTCCATGCTAGGCATGTTAAAGCTCGACAACCGATGCTTCATCATTGATTCTGCCATTATTGCATCACCCTTGACAGATTTGCTCAAGCAGGGTGCTTTTCCGTGGGATGAACCAGCAATAAAGGCCTTTAGGTACTGAAAACCACAATGCATTCCGCAGCAGTCCTTACCTTGCCGGATTTCAACAAACAATTTGTCATCCAAATGAATGCATCTAACAGAAGCATTAATGTTGTTTGTGTCTGCAGAGTTTTTTTATATTATCATAAATCTGTTTACAGCTATACATAATAGATAGTTTAGAATTTAGAAAATATTTCTAAAATTAATAAGCTTGGCTCAAATTAAAATGTATTTTTTAAAACTAGTAAGCTTGGCTTGAATTAGCTCTAAAGGTTACTTGAACCGATCATTTATAACGTGACTCAAAATTGACCCAACCCTAAATCAAAATCTTGATTTTGAGGAAAGGCGGGCTCCTTGAACTCAACTCGAGATCATGTCTCCCTGCATTGGGCACGAGTACAACAACAACAACATCAAGCCTTTATCCCACTACGTGGGGTCGGCTACATGAATCCTTTTTTTTATATTATCACGAGTATGGAAAAAAAAATTTGTTCAGGTAACATGTTAGAAGACTACATTTGCTTTCAATATTTTCAAAATAGCTCTCATTATCTTCTGTAAGTATCTTATTTCTATATTGACTTCCATCATTTAAGTAATTGTTTCACCTCAACATGAGCAGAAGTTTTCATGAAATTTTTCCCTGTGAGTACTGGTGCAACTGGACTTATAATTCAAGGAACAATTATGCAAGAGGTATTCATATAAGAGGTAGAGGTCACAATGAAAATAGAAAATAAGCAAAATTGGAACAAAAAAAAAACAAAATGAAGGTACACTGTAATCTATATAAATGCAAAGTATGTTAAGTTACCAGCTTCACATAGGACATGGTATCAATGACCTTCTTAATTACTGCCAACGGCAGATAATGCCTTGATGTGTCTGCATTTAAAAAATAGCTAAGTTGATCTTAGTATGTGGAACAAGGCGGCAGACTTTTTATTTATTAAATGTGAATGTTTGAATGTAGCTTACGAACACGCTAAAGTTAAAGAAGATTTCTTATATATTAGACAGCACGTAGGCTTAGTTATTCATTAGTTTAAAGAATATATCATTTACATGAAAATGATGCTACAAAAAAATGGTTGTGATTGTGACAGAAAAGGAAGCATGTAGTTAATTAATATGCCTGGATGCATTTCTAAGATTTCAATTTTTTACATGGTACATTATCAAGCAACAAGAAGCATCGGTATATTGTTTCAATCTTCTAAGTTAAAAAGTAGGCTTGGAAGTCTGATGCTAAAGGTTTATAAGAAATGGGATTTTCAACTTCTGCTTCTTCAGAACAGGTTGAACTTTAGTGCAAATATTTGAAAAGATTTAGATAAAACGGATTACTGAATTGATTCAATAAAATAAAACCATTAAAATTGTTAATGTGAATAAAATGAAACCACTTGCAAAACCACGCTGAATGCAAATTTTCACCTTGCTATGCAGACCAAACATGTTCATTTCTGAACGAATTTTCAGAACAGTTTTTTCCATTTTATTGATAAACAGGGAAAGGAAAAGATTTAGAAGGGCATTAAATTTTTTTTTTCTTTCTTCCATATGATATAAAGTGGAAATATAACAAAGCTAAAAAACGTATTTCAGGAAATAAATTAGTCAAGAAACTGGAGACAAGTGTAAGTGCTACAAATATCCATCTTTGATTGGGGCTGGCCAAACTAGCATAAGTATGATTTTCTTTTTCAGATTTCTTAAAAAAAGTTGAAATAAATAAGTTTAAATAGTTGAAATTTTCTAATATGGGCTCATACAAATATTAAAATATATCTTATTTTTAAGCCTATTAAAATTATGATCATATTAAATATTAATTATTATTTAACTTTTGGGGCATCTCCTTAATATTTGCATGAAATTTATTGTGTAGATATTAATTATATTATTTATTTTAATGATGTGCTGAAATAATTTAAATGCACTCAAATAAAATAGTAAATGTGTTGATTTTTATTTTTGCTCACAATCCATTTTGAGTGAAAACAAAACTCACTCAAGAACACCTTTTAGACATGGAAGGTCAAAAATCTCAACTCTATAATTCAATGGATTTGGGTATCCTTCCGACTAAATCTTCTTAATGACTTTAAATGAGATATTGTATAGATAAATTAAAATTTTTATCTTCAGTTATTTTCAACAAGTGGTATTAGAGTCAGGCTATTATGTTGAATCATTGAGAAATAATTTCACTCAAATTTTTTAGTTAATAATTAGAAAAAATTTCACCAAAATATTTTTTATTTTAAAATAGTTTTTTTTACAAAAATTTTGAATTTTAGTCTTTAGTTATATAAAAAATAAGAATATAAAAATCGACGTGTTTGATTTCTTATTTGTGATCTTGTCTCAGAAATAAAAATAATATTTTTAAATGTATTAGATTCAAATGTGATTCCTCTTCTTCTTCATCATTTTTTTTTTAAAGTTGAATCATCATATTTGTTTTTAAATGTCATTATTAAAATTCAAATTTTAATTTTAATTGAATCAATGTAATTAATTGATGATACTGTTAGTTTTTTTTTTCTTTTTAATTTTCTATAATATAAGAATTGGAGAGTTCTCAATTTTAATTATTTAAAAGATAGTCAATGGGTAGCATCATATATAATCTATAAAAGCCAATTTTTGAAAATTGCTGCATGATTTTAATTATGATATTAGTTAATATTTTACTTTTTTATTTCAAAGGTAATGATTATTGTTGCGTGCCGGAATACTCGTGGCGGTCAAGAGATAAAGAGTTTAACATTCTAATTTTGCACGAATATACCAGACAAGCATAGATAAGACAAAGAGAGGTAAAGGAATTATAAGAGATACTAGATATTTTAAGTGGAAAACCCAAAAAAAGGGAAAACCCACAGGGCCTAACCTAGTTAAAATGATTCAACTAATGTTTGTCATTGATTACAAATGATGCCCTTCCTTAGGGGAAGGCATTGACATAATATAAACAATATACATTACAATACATTATATGGCTGGAGTTGGAAGAACTAAATAGCATGAGAAATGCTCTTAAGAGATTATTGGCTTGTTTGTATGATCGGTCGGAAGGACTGTTGTAAGACAACAGAGGTCAAAGGGACTGCAGTCTGGCGACGGAGGTCGGAGGGACCATAGTCTGTCGATTGCGGTCGGAGAGATCATAGTCAGACAACAGAGGTTAAATAGAACATAGCCGGGTGATAGAGGTCGATGATGGTTTGAGGGCAATGGCTAGCAACATAAAAGTTTGACAATGACAGTCTGGTGGTGGTGGTTGGTAAGGGTACGACGATGGTGGCCTGGAAAAGGTCCAATGGCAACCTGGCGGTAAGGGTTTGTCAGCGGTAGTGCTGGGAAGGAGTTCTGAGATTTCTTCAAGCCTCATAACACTCTTTGCTCTCTAGCCAAGGATCCCAACTTCCTAATTCATGTGAAGAGTGAGGGTCTATTTATAGATTTTTTGGAGTCACCTACTCCGTAAATATGGAGAAAATCTAGAGAAAATATGGAACAATCCATTTCATGAATCACATTCATTCTCTCGATCATTAATCATTTATTTAGTGTTTAGATGCCTAAATTATGTCAAAATCAAGCAATTTTGGGCTCGTTAGATTCATCCATCTAACTGCTCGGTTAGACTATAAGAATGTCACATTTGAAGATCATTTAGTCAACCAATTAATGCCTTGGAATTCTAATTACGTCTTAAGGCCTCGATTCGATTTGGGATTATTTAGACTCGAATTGGATCAATTTTAATGTCATCGGTATAGCTACAGCTTTAATCGAGCAAAGCCATGAGTAGCCCTTTGAAAGCTCAATTCGTTTGCATCCTTAGACATCAGGTTTGTCTCATCAAGCCGTTCAATTCGAATATAAGTTTGTAAAATACCAGCTTAACGCCTTCCCGCTATATGCCCTGTAGACTGATTTGTGCGAGGTGAAGCTCCGTAGGAGACGCAAGCAACCTAGAGCGATGTGAGCGAGACATATGATGCAAACGTGCATGCAAGCTGGGAGAGACATACGATGCGGATTATGGCGCAGCTGCTAGACAGACGACGCCCCACCAAGCAAAAGTGCAAAACATCAATGCGAGCGAGCACGATGAGCTTCGACATCATGAGATAGAGATAGCGAGCAACCACAAGGAGACGATGTGTGACTTCAAATCCAATAGGTAGGAATGTAATCGAAGGAGGCGAAGAAGTTATTTAGTGACTCGTTCAAAACTCTACCTCTCATGCGATGCAGGGAAAGTTGAGGCCAAAGAATAACTAGAGATAGGAAAAGCAAACCTGCAGTTATAGGGAGACAGCAAAACAAACATAGGAACAAATTAATTTAGTTTAACTATTTTAATTAAAATTAATTAGGAATATGGTGTAATGAATAAATAATTAATTACTTAGATTAATTGATAATCAATTTAGATTTTAATTATATTATTTATAATGATTAGTTAATAATAATAATTAAACTTAAAAAATTAATAATTAACTCATAAATATTAAAAATATTATCAAAATTAAAATTAATAAGTTATATCATAATTAAATTATTTTCTAATTATATTATTTTTGTAAATATAATTTATTGACATTAATTAAAAATAGAATTAATAAGTAACTTTTACTTAAAATGTAAATTAAAATTAAAATTGATTTGTTAATTAACTAAATGGTATTAAATGGAATTGTAATATTTTTATTATATTTAAATGATATGAAATTGTAATTTTTATCAATGTTAGATTTTGCATTTAAAAAAATATAATTTTTTCACTATTTATTCACCTTTATTATATAGTAAATTAAATATGTACTATAATTTATTAAATGATAAAATTGAACAATATAAGCAATATTATATTATATCCACTTAAAATACCTAAAATACTCTTCATATTTAAATTCAGAGTTCACTTTAACTCTTATTTTAGGCTTGAAACTAAATTGTCTCAAATTTTAATAGTCGATGGACTAAATTGGAGCAATGCAAAACTTTGGGACTAAATTGAACATTTATCGATAATCCAAGGACTATTTTGAGCTTTTACTCAAAATAAATATTTATGATATACATTTTTCTTAAAAGGGATTAATTAAAAAGAAATTATAATTATTATTCATTATTTTAAGATAATTCAAATTTAAATAATATGTTGCCAAAGTAGTCTCAATTATATTAACTTATTTATTTTGAAATATTTTAATAATATTAAATATTTATATAAATCTATGCAAAAAATAGTTAGCTCAAAGGAAGATTATTTTTTGGCCAAATTATAGTTATATGTAGTAAAAAATATATGATAATTTAAATTTTATTCATGCATGCAATAAGTAGATCCAAATAATGTTTTATTATTATTGACAGGATTTTTCCTAATATTTTTTAACAATAATTTTAAGAAAACAACTTATAAATTACTATTTCTATCTAAAGACTAAATTGCAATATTATGCTAGGTATCTTATAAGAGACCATCTTATTTATCAAGCATATAGATAATTAACATTTATTTATTTATAATATATATGCATAAAAGAATGAAATTATTACTAATTTTAAATGTATTTTATTCTTTTACTACAAATTTAAATAAAATTCCAATGTTTAAAAGTACTAGCTTAAGAAAATAAAATTATATATCATTATTGTTATTTGGTATATGGATTTAAACTATGTAATGATGATTGAATGTTCTTCTGTTTTTGCTGCAAAAAGCACCATTGAACAAAGAGTTAATTTTAGAAAGTGAAGGCATTTCAATCACATGACTCTTATAATTATAAAACACTCTATTGTATAAACTATTATGGGCAAAAAATACTTGAAGTGAAATGTGCTGAGAATTTAAAGAAAAAAAAAAGTGCTTAGAATTTCATAGATCAAATAGCAGATCAGTTCGTTGATTCTGAAAAGCTTAAAATATGCATCTTTCTTGAAAAACTTATTTCAATGTGATATAAAGACAAAAGGAACATAAGATAGTACATTATGAAAATATCTAATTTTTTTACTAAATTGAGGACACTAAAGTTAGAATTATCTAATGATATTTTTGTTTAGTTAGTCTTGATCCTAAATGCACAAGAGATGCATCAAGAAAGGTGATGAAGCTACTAAATCTTCAAACTTAATGATAGTTTGGTTTGTTTCTTTTCTGCACTTTTTTTTCATCTTTTTAAATTTTTTTAAACAAAGAGTGGGTACTAATCTATGGGGTCATCAACATGATAAAATATTAAGTTAATTGGCCAAAATCCTAAATGCACAAGAGATGCATAACATTAGAAAAGCATAAAATATGTTTAAATTTGCTTATAGTCGATTCACTAGATTATAGGAAACTGCAGCAAAGATTATATATAAATACAAGTTTACAAGGCATCTCACCTATCATAAGACCACGATAAGGGAACCTTGGTTGATCTATAATCTTCCAGGGCGCTGAATGAAGTTCAATAATTTTGCTAGTAAAATTAAAATAGCATAATTGGCTAAAAGTCTGCAGCATTAAACATCCATTACGAGTTAAGTTAGCAATTAGAAACATCATGCAAATCTGCTGTGAAAGAGTCTTTGAATTACCTCTAAAGCATGAAGTGCTCCATAAACAGTTTGTGCCTGCAAAATATCAACCAGATTAACAAGGAGAAGTTATTTAAAATAGCAAAGAAAAAAATTTTGTTGCAAGACTTCATAAGGCAACATGATTTTACAATCAACGTTCATACATCTGTAGATGGAAAAAAATAAATCATATGATAGGATGATTTATGCTTTGAGACACAACACTGGTGTAAAATTATAGCCGAAAAACTTCAAAACATAAAATATATAAGATAAATGATTATAATAGCATTAAATGTTAATGTTTTTATTGAACGAGATAAAAATTAGTATCAAACACAAAAAAATGTGAAAGCCAGTTAAAACTAGTGCAAATAAAAATCTACTACTTAGGTGAATGAAAAAATAGAATATTTCTAAATCTAGAACCGTAGAAGCTTCAAAAGATAAGGTCGTCAATCTTTGCATTTCCTGAATTCGAAGTTTAATCTAGATCTCTTCTTGTGGAAAATTGATGATCACTTATGAGCATATCCAAAAAAAGAATAAATTCCGAGAGAAGGCACAAAGAAAATGGAAAACATGACACGATGGACTATATAAACAGAAAAAGAGAATAGCTAAATTGGCTTGGAGCAAGTTTTGTCTGGTTCTCTTGGTATTTAATATTTGATATTCAAGAATTTCAATTCGATGAGAAAAAGAGAATTTCATACCGCTGAAAATTTCCTGCAAAAAGAAAAGAGATTGTTTTTTGTCTCGTCGAATAAGATGAGGCAACAGGTATGCCACAAATTTTGGGCAAATTATTGGGTCAGGTGACCGAAGGCGAAAAATAAGTTCGGACATCCAATAAAAATTTGCCGCGTCACCTTGCGCTTTACCTGCGCTTTAGTTGCGCTTTTTGACTTTGCGCTTTAGTTGCGCATTACCTGCGCTTTAGTTGTGTTTTAGTTGCGCTTTACTTGCGCTAATTTTAAAATAATATTTTATTAATATTCGGACCCATCTCTACGTTCGGTCACCTGACCCAATAATTTGCCCAAATTTTGAGAGTTATCGCTATGGTGGCCAGAGTGAATGCGATTATGTTCATAGGATCTCGTCATTATGAGAGGAAATAGTGTGATCTTTCGAATTAATTTTGATTTGAGAGGTTTAGATCTATTAAAATTGTTTGATTGAATTGTGCTAGATCAGGCTTGATTTGTTTTGATTCGAGCTCAATTGAACCTAGTTTGAATCCAATTTGATTTTGACGGCACTCGATTGAGTTGATTGAGCTCGATCGTACCCAAATGGGGTCGAATCGGCTCGATTGGAGACCATTCGACACACAAAAAAGTCTAAACAGTAAACTGTAAACAAAAGCATTGGAATTCCTTTCAATTCTAACGAAACCCAGCTAATAAATATGTGAAGTCTAAGCAAAATTTACCGAAACAATGTAGAAGTAAATTGATAATGCATGGGCCCTTACGGGGCTGTCTAATTTAAGATAAAAACATTGATTCTGTACCTAGTAACTGTATTCATTTTAAATGTGTATTTTTTAGCGTTTCTAACTATATTAACTAATCATAATTAGTGAATTCTGTTTTTTTTTTTTAGCCCTCATCCTAATCTACCTTACATTAACCAATTTAAATCAGCAACTCCTATTTGGCTAATATGACCCAACTCAGTTTGATCTGTTAGTTGAGAGCTTTGGCTACTAACTAAGAAGTATTGGGTTTGAGTCTTACGTATGTGATGTGTGTGAGTTTTCCTTAATTGGCCTGAATTTCCAAAAAAATTATTTAGCTAATATGCCGGTAACCTGATCCAAAATCCGATGGATAAATTCTAACTCTTTCATTGAAGTAATGTTTGGTATGTTCCTAAATATAAATAAAAATTGTGTCATAAAAGTAATGTGATGCAGTGCATATTATGGAGTATGTGGCACAGCAGACCGCCACCACTCATACTACACTCTCTCCGTACCAATTCAGTTATCTTAGTGCTAGTATTCCTTTTTCTTTGTTACACCATAATTAGCAAAACTCAATTATCTACTATTACAAAACCTTATATTATCAAAAATATACATAGGAGGAAAGGAGTGTAGTGCAACACTTTTTCCACTATTATCAATAGAATTTGTATTATGGGGCAGGATGCCTCTGTTTTCACCGAGAGGTAAACCTCTCAGTTTCTGGTTCTTGTTTTCTTGTCTGGAATTCCTTGCAGATCCTAAGCGGCATCAGGTTGGTATCAGAGCCGGAGATTCCAGGCGAGCAGGATGACGAACTGAGGTAAAGAACCGGCCACCGATCGGAGCCATGAAATGCTGTGGGCAAACCAAGCTACCATCTTGCGCCAACTGGACACGTTGTTCGCAGATGTGCAACGCCTTTCGGTACCAATGCACCGTGAGTTAAATCTCAATCGTTTAGAAGCGACACATCTTCAACCACATCGAGAGCAAGCACCGCGATAGTTATTCCAGGTGGCCGGCGTGGTTTGGGCCTTGATCGCCATTGGCGTCGAAACCCTTTTCCTGTACAAGGAGGATCTGATTCGGAAGAAGATTTACAAAGGCAAATGAGATGTGTACGTGAGCGAGTCCGACGAGGATAATGATGATCTTGACTACCCTGCTGGCCAATATAGGCGGCGACGTCATCCTGTGCAACACCGACACCAAGCCGAGTTCAAAGTCAAGGTAGACATACCATTTTTTTATGGCCGCTTACACATAGAGAATTATTTGGATTGGGAGAAAGCTGTTGAAAACTTTTTTTGAATACATGGAAATTGAGCCGGCAAAACAGGTCAAATATGTAGCCTGTAGGCTAAGAAGTGGAGCTAGTGCTTGGTGGACTCAATTACTACAGATGCAGCAGAGGGAAGGGAAGGGCCCTGTCCGTAGTTTGGCACGAATGAAGCAGCTTTTACATGCTCAATTCCTTCTGACTGATTATGAACAGATTCTTTATATGAAGTATCAATAGTGTGTGCAAGGCAACTGCTCTGTAAATGAGGACACCGAAGAGTTCCATAGGCTCAGTGCCCGAAAAAACTTGAATGAGTCAATGAACCAGTTGGTGGCTAGATATATTGGAGGACTCAAGCACAGCATTCAAGACCGGCTAGAATTGAATTTCGTGTGGTCCTTATCTCAAGCCATCAATTTCACGTTGAGGGCAGAAATGCAACTGAGCCGGTCTACACGACCCCGGTTCTCTCGTCAACAACCCCGTGAGTCGACACCTGAAGTCACCAAAGGGAGCTCCCCTCAGTTCAAAACAGCTAACACTTCTCCCTCTCCCTTTCCATCCACAGCTCAACTCAAACAATCTGGACCGACTCTACAGACTAAGTCCCAGCTAAAACCCAAGAATCCTCATCAAAACAATCCATATGCCAAACCAGGTACACTGAAGTGCTTTCGTTGTTTCCAACCTAGGCACAAGTCTAATGAATGTCCTCAGCAATAACAATTATAATTATTGGAAAATGAAGATGGGGAGGCATTGCCGAATCTTAGTGAAGCAAACGACTTAGATATTGAGGACGTAGAAGGTGATGAAGGGGATCCCGTGGTTTATGTTATTTAAAAATTGTTAATAACACCTAGACATCACAATGCTTCACAATGTAATGCAATTTTCAAGACTACGTGTACTATTAATGGTAAGGTTTGCGGCCTGCTCATCGACAGTGGCTGTACAAAAAATATCATTTCTCGTTCAGTGGTCCAAGCCCTACAGCTCAAAACAATAAAGAATCCTCAACCTTACAAGATCAGTTGGGTCAAAAAGGCGATTGACATTCCTGTTACGGAAATGTGTCAGGTAACCTTTTCTATTGGGCGCCAATATGTCTGTGACGTTCTATGCAACGTGTTGGACATGGATGTGTGCCACTTGATATTAGGCCGCCCATGGCAATTTGATACTGGTGCTATTTATGATGGTCATGCCAATGCATATGCTCTAGATTGGAAAGACAAACGTCTCAGACTTCTACCAGGACCACGTGACAACAAATCGTCTGCGCCTAATCAGTCGCTGTCATCTGCCATGCAGTTGGTATCGGGTCCAAGCCTTTTGCTAACATGGAAGGAATCAACTCTTATGTGGGCTTTGGTAGTCATGGATTCCAACTTCACACAGCAGCTTGAAGTTCCTTCTGAAGTTTGACGGTTGCTGCAAGAATTCAATAGTATTTGCCCAAGTGATCTTCCCAAGTCACTCCCTTTCAAAATATTCAGCAACAGATAGACATGCTACCTAATGCTATCTTACCAAATCTTCCACATTATAGATTGAACCACAAGGAACAATAGATTTTACAGAATATCAGTGAAGATCTCTTTAGTAAGCAGCTCATTCAGGCGAGTATCAGTCCATGCACTGTCCAAGCATTATTGGTACCTAAAAAAAACAGTGAATGGCATTTATGTATTGATAGTAGAGCCATCAACATGATCACTGTGAAATACCGATTTCCTGTGCCCCGGATCGATGAATTACTTGATAAATTAGAAGGCTCATCTTTTTTTTTCTAAATTGGGCCTACATAGTGGGTATCACTAGATTCGAATTCGTCCTAGTGACGAATGGAAAACAGCCTTCAAGACATCATTCGAACTATATGAGTGGAAGATTATGTCGTTTAGATTGTGCAAGGCACCTTCCACCTTTATGAGAATGATGCAAGACATTCTCAAACCGGTTTGGGGCAAATTCTGCATTGCTTACTTTGATGATATCTTAATATACAGTCACACTTTGGTGCAACACATCAAACACCTCCAACAAATCTTTCTTATTTTACAAGAAAACAAGTTGTTCCTCAACTTACACAAGTGTCAGTTTGCTACCTCTCAAGTGCAATTTCTTGGGTTTGTTGTTTCAGAAAATGGTGTCCGGATGAATCCTGGCAAAGTTGCGGCAATTCAAACTTGGCCAATCCCATGCTCTTCTTTTTAGGTTCGTAACTTCCATGTCTTAGCAAATTTTTACCGCAAATTCATCAAGGGATTTAGTGTGCTTATGAGCCCCATT